AGAAAACACTGAGTGTGTATTGTAGTAAAGAGTTTTTTGTTGCATACCCGTCTTGCCTTTTGCAAGGAGTATTTATACCTCAAAAGCTCATGATTGCTGTCAGTGTAGTCAGTAGGTGATCATTAGGTACAGGCAGTGTGCGCACTGATTCTAATGAGGAATGTCTTCTCTTCTTAACTGCTCGGGGTCCCGAGCAATCAATGCTGGGTCATCGGGATGCCGACGGTACAATGTACTCCTCTCGGGGAGGATGCAATAAATGCTCTGTATTAGGAGCATTTATTGTCTTTCATTTTCGAGCCTTACCGCATTGAATGCTGTCTCATCAAGGGAATGGTGTAATTAATCGTTTGCTTTTCCAAGTCGCGTGTCAGCAACGGCATGCGGTTTCTCTGTCTTCGATGTGATATCATATGCCACGCGTCCATCCCCCATTGGCTGTGGCCCCTGCATTCCAGTACGTTCTGACACTAATTGTGTAAGACGAGGTCATGATGAATAGCCTAGACTAGCCTAGGCTAATGACCTGTACGTCAATAGCTTATCCTGGAGTAGAGGAAGCGTCCAGGACGGGGTACCTCTCGGCACCGAGGAAAGGCTCATCTCGGAACCGAGGGAGGGATACCGACCGAGGTACCATATCAGACCGAGGCTACGTGTTGGTTGTAAAACGTGCTGAATACCATGATCCTATATGATGAGTACCTCGGGGGCGAGGACCTTTATGCGCCGATGGTGCTTGATCTTAGCAACAGTGTTTTGGTAATACCGAGGACACGTGTCTTCATCATGGAATATTTCAGAAAAGTCCCATCAACTGCCCCCCAGCCTTCGATCTTCTGACACCGAGGGCACGCGTCGTAAGGAGACGAAGGGTTTCCCAACAACCACAAATGCTTCATCATTGCCTCGAGCCGCTTTCCCCGGCTTGGGATGTCGTGTGCATTAAATGCGCCGTTTCGTTTTTCGCGCCCAATGATGAAATTGCCTCTATATAAATGGGACTCCTCTTCCGTTTACTTGTTTCGCCATTCCGAACTTTCTCAAGAGAGCTTTTTCTTGAATCTTCGCCGGAGATCTCTTTCTTCCCTCATAGTCAACTGTCCATTTTTCCTTAAAATCTTAAGGCCAGCAGACCCATCGTTGCTTCTGAACTTTCTGGAAGGAGTCGCTTTAAAGTTTTTCAGAAAAAACTTCGTTTGACATTCGGGTGAGTTCTAGTATCTTCCTTCTTTTCTTCCTCTTATCCCTTTTTGTTTTCCGATGACTGGAGGTGTCTCCGGTTGATACATAACCCTCGTTTCTTCCTCTTATCACTTAATCCTCGGTAAGCTTCCTCACGGATTTTTAAGGAAAAACACCCTCCACTTTCTTACTTTCTTAGAGATGCCTCGTCGTCGCCCTGCTCCCGAGAATCCTCAGGCCGATTCTTNTTTGACATTCGGGTGAGTTCCAGTATCTTCCTTCTTTTTTTCCTCCTATCCTTTTGTTTTCCGATGACTGGAGGTGTCTCCAGTTGATACATAGCGATTAACCCTCGGAAAACTTCCTCAGTGATTTTTAAGAACAAACACCCTATATTTTCTTACTTTCTTAGAGATGCCTCGTCGTCGCCCTGCTCCCGAGAATCCTCAGGCCGATTCTTCGGGGTCGGGGNCTAATCCTCGGGAAGCTTCCTCAGGGATTTTTAAGGAAAAATACCCTCCACTTTCTCACTTTCTTTAGAGATGCCTCGTCGTCGCCCTGCTCCCGAGAATCCTCAGGCTGGTTCTTCGGGGGTCGGGAAAGTATAAAGTAAAGGGTGGTGAGCAGATTGATAGGTTTAAGGTCAAGTACGGCATTCCCCCATGCGTAGACGTAGAGGATTATGACCCGGTGGTGCACTCTCCTACCTTCGGGGCCGAGGATGCTATGCCCTTTTATACCAAGGCCATAATAGAGGGAGGAATTAGGTTTCCTTTACCCCCTTTACTTCTTCAGTTCCTCTCTCACTTCCGCCTCTTCCCCGGGCAATGTTGCCTTAATGTCTTCAGAATAATTATGGGGGTCTTAGAGCTCAATAGGCGTCTCGGGGGTAAATATTGGGCTGAACGATCTCCTCTTTTGTTATTCCCTCCTGAGAGTCATGCCTCACCAACACTTCTACCTCAAAGCCAGGGACCCCTCCATGTACCTTATAACTCATCTTCCCGACTCGGACAAGGGGTACAAGGACGATATTCTTATTTTCAAGGGATCTTGGCAGAGAGGTGTTGGTCCCGAGTATAACGACTTGTTATGCCCTCTGGAATGGAGAACGACAAGTACGTCGGTTCCTTCGGGTTTATTATTTTGTTCTCCAGATTTCCCATGTTCATGACTACTTTTTTGTTTGTGCAGATATCCCTGCTCGGGAAACAGCTCCTCCCCCTCGGTCGCTGGTGAACTTTGCCGACCTAGTCACGGTTTGGAGATTTACTGGTGACAACGGGTTCGGCCGGGCTGCCCACATCCTGCTGAATTACACCCCCGGGTATAAGAAATTTTCACAGCTTCCTCAGCCTTTTGAGCCTTCGCGGTGGTCTGAACTCTTCGATCAGGCGGCGAGGCAAGAGGTCGAGGAAAACTTGGAGGAAGACCCTGATCGGGCTTCGGAGGCAGAGGTAGAGGGAGTAGTTGAAGAGCTCGGGGTCAGAGAGGACGTTGTTCCTTCGGACGCCGAGGTGGGGACCTCGGGAGGAGATTTGTGGCCAGACTTCCAAGTCCTACAATCTCTAGACTCCGAGGACGCCCTCGAGGTCGCGATGTCCAGCACGCCTCGTATTGACCTGGGGTTCCTGAGGCAGAGGCAAGCTCTTGCTGCCGGGAGGGGTCGAGGATCGACCGACGGCGCCCCATCTGCAGGGACCAGTTCCACCCCATCCTCAAGGGTTCTTAGTCGGGGTCAAGTGCGTGACCGGGATCCTCAGGTAGAGGAGGAGAGAAGGGTCAAGCATAGGCACGATGGCCTCGGCAGAGGATCTAGGGCATCTCCCGCTCAGCAGCAAAGCGGGAGAGGCCGTGGGTTACCCCCTGCTCCTCCGCAACAGCAGCAACAACAACGACAACAGCAACAACAACGGCAGCAGCAACAACAGCAACAACAGCANAACTTTGCCGACCTAGTCACGGTTTGGAGATTTACTGGTGACAACGGGTTCGGCCGCGCTGCCCACATCCTGCTGAATTACACTCCCAGGTATAAGAAATTTTCACAGCTTCCTCAGCCTTTTGAGCCTTCTCATTGGTCTGAACTCTTCGATCAGGCGGCAAGGCAAGATGTCGAGAAAAACTTGGAGGAAGACCCTGATCGGGCTTCGGAGGCAGAGGTAGAGGGAGTAGTTGAAGAGCTCGGGGTCAGAGAGGACGTTGTTCCTTCGGACGCCGAGGTGGGGACTTCGGGAGGAGACTTGTGGTCAGACTTCCAAATTCTACAATCTAGACGCCGAGGACGCCCTCGAGGTCGCGATGTCCAGCACGCCTCGCATTGACCTGGGGTTCCTGAGGCAGAGGCAAGCCCTTACTGCCGGGAGGGGTCGAGGAACGACCGACGGCGCCCCATCTGCAGGGACCAGTTCCACCCCATCCTCAAGGGTTCTTAGTCGGGGTCAAGTGCGTGACCGGGATCCTCAGGTAGAGGAGGAGAGAAGGGTCAAACATAGGCACGATGGCCTCGGCAGAGGATCCAGGGCATCTCCCGCTCAGCAGCAAAGCGGGAGAGGCCGTGGGTTACCCCCTGCTCCTCCGCAACAGCAACAACAACAACAACAACAACAACAGCAACAACGGCAGCAGCAGACTCCCCCTTCCCCTCCGCCGACAGTGGAAGCCGCAGAGTGGAATCCCCGAGCCACCGATCACATGAACCGAGTGATCAGGGTCGATGACTCCATTTTGCTGGATCCTCATGTCGCCAATGCAGTGAGTGAGACACTGCATTTCGAGGCTGACATGGCGGCTCACAGGGGGCGATCAACGAACGTGCTGTTCCGCTCTATCATCCAGAATTCCCTGGTGGTAAGTTCATTTTTGCTTTGGTTTCTTCTCTCTCGCTTTCCATTTTTGTGATACGCCTTTTTCCCTCCTTTGCAGGCTACCCAACAGATCTCCATAATAGCTGCGCGGTACCATGGGTCTAGGATGGACCTCCAGCGGGCCCGA